AGTTCGAATTAGCGCTGTAGTGTAGACATGCCCCAAGATAGTTAAGGCCAAAGCAGACTCTGAAGAGCTTCAAAAAGTGAGCTTCACAAAACTAAGAGATTGGGCAACAAAATGGCAAATGAATTTTAAAGTTGATAAAAGCAAAGTAATGCACATTGGAAAAAATAATCCCAACCATACGTACAATATGATGGGGACTAATTTAGCTAAAACTACCCAAGAGAGATCTTGGCATCATTGTGGATAGTTCTCTGAAAATAACCACTCAATGTGCAGTGCCAGTCAAAAAAGCAATACTTGAATACTGTGTACAGATGTGGTTGCCTCATCTCAAAAAAAAAAATTGGTATTGGAAAAGGTTCAGAAAAGGGCAACAACAATGATTGGGGGTTTGGAATGGGTCTCATAGGAAGAGCGATTAAAAAGGCTGGGAGTTTTCAGCTTAGAAAAGAGGAGATTAAGGTGGGGAATAGGAGAGAGATCTATAAAATCATAACTGGTGTGGAAAAAGTGAATAAGGAAAAGTTATTTACTTGTTCCCATAACATAAGAACTAGGGGCCATCAAATGAAATGAATAGGTAGCAGGTCTAAAACAAACAAAAGGAAGTGGTTTTTTCTTCTTCATACAGCGCATGGTCGGCCTGTGGAACTCCTTGCCAGAAGATTCTGTGAAGACCAGGACTTTAACAGGGTTCAAAAAAGAACTAGATGGATCTAACCTCCATGAATCTATCAATGGCTGTTAGCCAGGATGAGTAGGAATGGGTGACAGGAGAGGGATTGCTTGAAGATTCCCTGTTCTGTTCACTCCCTCTGGGGCATCTGGCATTAGCCACTGTCGTCACACAGGAAACTGGGCTAGATTGGCCTTTGGTCTGACCCAGTCTGGCCTTTCCTATGTTCTTTTGTTCATGCCTGTGTGTGTGAAAGAATCCCCAACAAAACACTCTACTGCGCACACTTCTGCCCCCACGGAGGGGAAGCGATCCAGCTCATGACAGGGGTTAGTCACGTTGCTTAATGAATGACTGGAAGGTGCCCAGAGCTGGTTGCGATGAGCAATGCAGAAGAACCTATACAGAGGAGGCATTAGGCTGGTTCCCTGTTCACTCGGGGCTGGCCTTGGGCTGCTTGCAACCCTGTGCTCAGTGCCAGGACTCTCCTATTGCTTCTCCAAATGTAAATATTTGGGGCAAAGTTTCAACAGGCTGCACAGCAAAGAGCAGAACAGAGGCTAAAGCCTGAATCCCTGCACGCGAGGCACTAAGGGTATGTCTATGTGCCCAGGAAAGCTCATGATGCCATCTACATGTTTTGTTAGTTTATAAAGTGCTACCAGACTATTTGTTGTTTGATTAACCAATACACCTAGGCTTATCGGATTATCAGCTACACATGCCTACTCGCCACAGACAGCAATTAGGGAGACACTAGATTAGTTCCCCTCTCCTGTGTCCTCCCACAATATTCCTCTACCTCCGGCGTTAGCAAGCCAAAAGATGGCAGGTGCATAAGGAACCGAGCTGGCTGTGATTTCCTGTGTGGGCTGAGGCTGCAGGATGCTGCTGCATATGAAAGAAACCTGCAGCAGCATCTGACAAATAGGGTGTGTCTACACTACCCCGCTAGTTCTTACTAGCGGGGTAATGTAGGCATACCGCACTTGCAAATGAAGCCCGGGATTTGAATTTCCTGGACTTCATTTGCATAAACTGGGCGCCGCCATTTTTAAATCCCTGCTCGTTCAAACCCCGTGCAGCGCGGCTACACGCGGCATGAACTAGGTAGTTCGGACTAGGCTTCCTAGTCCAAACTACTGTTACTCCTCGTGGAATGAGGAGGCCTAGTCCGAACTACCTAGTTCGTGCCGCGTGTAGCCGCGCTGCACGGGGTTCGAACGAGCAGGGATTTAAAAATGGCGGCGCCCAGTTTATGCAAATGAAGTCCAGGAAATTCAAATCCCGGGCTTCATTTGCAAGTGCGGTATGCCTACATTACCCCGCTAGTAAGAACTAGCGGGGTAGTGTAGACACACCCTATTTGTCAGATGCTGCTGCAGGTTTCTTTCATATGCAGCAGCATCCTGCAGCCTCAGCCCACACAGGAAATCACAGCCAGCTCGGTTCCTTATGCACCTGCCATCTTTTGGCTTGCTAACGCCGGAGGTAGAGGAATATTGTGGGAGGACACAGGAGAGGGGAACTAATCTAGTGTCTCCCTAATTGCTGTCTGTGGCGAGTAGGCATGTGTAGCTGATAATCCGATAAGCCTAGGTGTATTGGTTAATCAAACAACAAATAGTCTGGTAGCACTTTATAAACTAACAAAACATGTAGATGGCATCATGAGCTTTCCTGGGCACAGCCCACTTCTTCAGATGACCGGAGTTTTGAGTTTAGGATGTCCTGACCCAAAATAAATAGGGGAGAAAGGAGAGGGGAGGGGGCGGGAAGGAAAAAAATGGAAGGGGGCAGGAAACAAGAAGCAGAGGGTATGTAAATAGCAAAGGGAAAACCATCCAGGCAAAACTGGTAATCTATAAGCACCTAAAAATTGGATAGTTAAAAGAAGCAGATAAGGATCATAGATAGCAATTGGACAGGAAGGATACTAACACAAAGATCTGCAGACCAAGAGCTGTTGGCACCTTCATTGTTTGGTTGGTTGATAATGTCCCAGCCATCCATTATCTTGATTGAGGCCACAGGTGTGAGAATTAAATTTGTGGATGAATTGTAATTCCCATCCTTCTCTGTGTATTTGCGAAACAAGAAGCAGAGGGTATGTAAATAGCAAAGGGAAAACCATCCAGGCAAAACTGGTAATCTATAAGCACCTAAAAATTGGATAGTTAAAAGAAGCAGATAAGGATCATAGATAGCAATTGGACAGGAAGGATACTAACACAAAGATCTGCAGACCAAGAGCTGTTGGCACCTTCATTGTTTGGTTGGTTGATAATGTCCCAGCCATCCATTATCTTGATTGAGGCCACAGGTGTGAGAATTAAATTTGTGGATGAATTGTAATTCCCATCCTTCTCTGTGTATTTGCCTTGTAGAACTGGTCTGTAACAAGACAGCCCCGTGGAGATCTTTTAAAGCGTGACCAGGTAGATTAAAGTGTTCCCCAACAGTTTTCTGTATGTTCCCTTTACGGATAGCTGATTTGTGTCCATTGATTCTTTCCCGCAGGGCCTGTCCAGTGTGTCCAATATATACATATATTGCATTGCTGGGGCATAGATCAAATTACTGGATCTTGACCACACACATTTCCACGCGATATTCCACACTTCGCCTCATTTGCATACATTTTTGCACAAGAGAAGGGCAGTGTAGACATAGCCAGAGAGACGCAGCAAGTGTGAGGGAGCAGGAGCTAGTGCTGGGGGGAGCAAGGTTAAAAGCTGGATTTTCCTTCCCTTCCCCCCTCCCCCAGCCTCCCAAGTACCAGCTCCACAGTGCCGCCTGCCCCTGGCAGTGTTGGGGGGAGGGGAGGCTGCCACAAAGCAGCCCCTGTCTGCAGGGGCCCAAACACCCCACAGAGGCTGCTCCACATCCCGTGGACAGGACTCTGTCCTCAGCAAGCCTGGGCCCACCATGGGCAGGCTCCACCAGCCCCTCTCTGTAGGGGGTCCCAGCGCCCTGTGGACGGAGGCTGCTCCGCATCACGCAGTGTAGCCTCTGTCTGTGAGGAGCTCGGACCCCCCATGGACAGAGGATGCTGCCACCCCACACTGATGCCTCTGTACTGGAAGAGGCAGCGCAGGGCAACGGGCAGCTGATTTTTAAACTGGCTCCCCTCATGGACCAATTCCCCCTGCCACCTTAAGCTGCTGCCTCTGATACAGAGGCAGCAGCACTGCTTGGAAGGGGGCTCCCTGGGAGAGGGGCTGGGAGCACAGAGATTTCATGGGGTCACACGACTGTTCAATTACCCCATAGCTAACTCCCTAGTGGAGAGGTCCCAGGGAACTGGCTTCTCTATGTTTCCAGTTGCTAAAATGCATCAACAAACCCTAAAATATCCGGGATTCTTTCCAAATCGCTGTCCTTTGCCATGGAGAAGCGACGGGGCTGCATGCCTGTGACTGGTGAGGTGACAGCTCATGATCATGAATCGGAGGGAAGGCATCCGCCTGGCAAGGTGTGGTCCATGCTGTGAAATGTGTGAGGATGCAGCGTGGGCTGAGTCACCCACCAGGATACTGACGTTTTGTGCTTAGATAGCTCCCTTCAGCTGGGACTTCACAGTGACTTAGCCATGTTAATGAGCCTAACTGAATCTTGGCCATGCCTCTGGGGGGTACTGCATCCTATATACAGCACAAGCATTGGGGTTCCCATTTTACAAATGGGGAAAGGGAGGTGACTTGCCTGAGTCGGTGGCTGCAGAAGGAACCCAGGAGTCCCGATTCTGGATCTGGTATGCTGTGAAAACTGGGCACAGGCTCCCACGCAAGCAAGTGTGAGTTCAGCTGGCCCCAGTAACAAAGCAGAGTGGTTAGTGAGCCTAGAACACAGCCAGGGCCCTTGCCCGCTCCTGGAGCTAGCTGGAGTCAAACCAGCTGCAATAGATGAGCCCAGACCCAGATTTTCGCTTTCCCACCCTTGCAGAACCCAGGAGTCCTGGAGCTATTGGATCTGTGCTAAATGAGATCTATGTTTATAGTGACTAGGAACCATCATGGGATGGCAGCGTGGCAAGCCTCCTTTGCTCCTCATTCTCCTTCCTCCTTGCCCAGGCAGCAGAGCTCTGGCTGGAATCTGTCTCAGGACATGTGTTCCTGGCATGCACCTAACTTCCTGCAGAATTGTAGCCAGCTCTGTTCTCCCGGGTCAGCTGCCTGTAAACCCTGGCCTGGAGTCTTGTGCAGGAGCCTGGCAGGGCCGCAGGTCAGCTGGCTACCTGTAGAGCACTTGAGCGCAAGCCAACTGGTCTCTTGGAATAGGTGTGCCCACACCTGGCTGTGTCAGCAGGAGGCGGGGCTAGGGCGAAGGGGAGGAGGCGGAGCAGCAGGTGTAAAATCCCATGTCGCTGGGAGAAGGAAGAAATGATTTTCAAGAGCCACAACCTGCAGCTGAGCACAGATACTCTTGGCCTCTGCACAGCGCTTGTCCCCCTGGCTGCCTGAAGCTTCCCGACCTTTCATCCCCAGAGCCAGCCCTGCCCATGGGAGCAGCCTGGGGCTTGGTGGAATATGGCTGTAAGATTCCAGGCAAGTCTCTTTTCCCAGCGTGGGGGTGGGGTATTCGGGGAAGGAGCTCCGGGGCCAATAGCTTTGCAAGTGCTGTGCGCAGCAACAGCCATTGTGGGGCAGGGAGCAAAGGGACCTGACGGGAGAAACAGGGTTTATGCTCCAGTTATCCAGCAGCCCGGTCAAAGGACAGTAAGTCCAGGCTCGGAACCAGTCTTATCTGAGGGTGGGGGAGGAAAGTGTTGGGAACTCTTGCCCAACAGGCCCTGTGCTGCTGCCAGCCTCCTGCTCCTGAATCCGTCTGGGGTGTCGTGTTGTCAGTTGCTCTGCCCGCGGGGGACAGGCCGGCTGGGGAAGGGTCCACGCTGGCATCATTTGGAGCACACAACTGCTATGAGTAGGCAGTGGTTGGGCGGGTATCCCCTTCTGCACTGCTCTCAGCCCTGGCCCGGGGATCGATTCAGTCCAGGGTGCCTGGGCTGAGCATGACTGCCTGGCATCCTGTGATGCTCGCCCTCCTGGAGGAACTGGCTTCATTGCCCAGTTTTCACTGCATACCAAACTCCTTTCTGGAGGCAGGCAGGCATTGGCAGCAGCTTGTTCTTACTCCTGGCCTGGCTTAGATCTGAGCCAGCAGCCTCCTTCCAGAGGAAAGTGGATGCGAACATCAGGATGGTTCTGGGAAGAGTCTGCTCACAGCCTCCCCTGCTCCCACTAAAGGCAGCGGCAACCCCCACTTGACCTCCTTGGACCACGTCTGGCTTGGTGCACGGTGCAGATGTGTGTGCATGGGGCTGCACTCCTCTATTGCTTCCTGTGCTGCAACCTGCAAACACTGATTTTTTTTCAGGCAACGAGACCTGGTTAACAATGAGTTTTGCTTTTGTGTCACTTTGTTAATTGCTTTGATCCATCGGCTGGTCTGAGAAATCTTCTGCTGGGGGGGCAGTCTCTGCTGGACCTAAGTGGGTGGACATTCTCTGCTGAGCCTAAGGGTTGAGCTGATGCGTCAGTTCCCCTGCAAGCAGGTTGGCTAGAGAGGGGCCGAATAGGAGCTCCCCCAAACTTGAAATACGGAGTTGGCAGCTTGCTCCCTCTTCTAATTGTACCCTGCAACACAGCAACCTCCCAGCCTGTTCTGTTCGCTGTCTGCCTGTCCTTTTTGTTTACAGTCTGTTTTGGCTGTTCCCTTCCTTTGGCACCCGCCCAGGAGTTCCCCTGCAAGCAGGTTGGCTAGAGAGGGGCCGAATAGGAGCTCCCCCAAACTTGAAATACGGAGTTGGCAGCTTGCTCCCTCTTCTAATTGTACCCTGCAACACAGCAACCTCCCAGCCTGTTCTGTTCGCTGTCTGCCTGTCCTTTTTGTTTACAGTCTGTTTTGGCTGTTCCCTTCCTTTGGCACCCGCCCAGGATTCCGCCTTTGGGGTTGCGGAATGCCTTGTCCTGCCCAGAGATATGCTTGCAGCTCAAGGAATGTTCAGCCCAGCTGCTCTGCTTGGGTTGGAGGGTTGTTTGTGGGTGGCTTTTTCAACACTGAGCCTCCATTCTCACTTTAGAATCATGGGGCGGGAAGGGACCTCAGGAGGTCGAGTCCAGCCTCCTCCCCAAAGCAGGACCAATCCCAACTCCATCATCCCGGCCAGGGCTCTGTCAAGCCGAGACTTAAACACCGCTAGGGATGGAGACTCCACTATTTCCCTAGGGAACCCATCCCAGTGCTTCACCACCCTCCTAGGGAAATCGTTTGTCCTAATATCCAACCTAACCCTCACCCACTAACTTGAGACCATTGCTCCTTGTTCTGCCATCTGTCACTACTGAGACCAGCCTCTCTCCATCCTCTTTGGAACCTCCCTTCAGGAAGTTGCAGGCTGCTGTCAAATCCCCCCTCACTCGTCTCTTCTGCAGACTAAACAGACCCAAATCCCTCAGCCTCTCCTCATAGGTCATGTGCCCCAGCCCCTAATCATTTTTGTTGCCCTCCGCTGGACCCTCTCCAATGTGTCCACATCCTTTGTTCAGTGGGGGGCCCAGAACTAAACGCAATACTCCAGATGTGGCTTCACCAGTACTGAATAAAAGGGAATAATCACATCTCTAGATCTGCTGGCAGTGCTCCTCCCTAATGCAACCTAATATTCCATTCACCTTCTCGGCTACAAGGGCGCCCTGTTGGCTCCTATCCAGCTTCTCTGTTGACTCAGATCCACTGTAACCCCCAGGTCCTTCTCTGCAGAACTACTACTTAGCCAGTCGGTCCCCAGCCTGTAACAATGCTTGGGATTCTTCCGTCCTTGTTGAACCTCATCAGATTTCTTTTGGCCCAATCCTCTAATCTATCCAGGTCACTCTGGACCCGATCCCTGCCCTCCAGCGTATCTACCTCTCCCCCTAGCTTAGTGTCATCTGCGAACTTGCTGAGGGTGCAATCCATCCCCTCATCTAGGTCATTGATAAAGATGTTGAAGAAAACTAGCCATAGAACTGATCTTTGGGGCACTCTGCTAGAAACCAACGAGACATCGAGCCATTGATCACTACCCTTTGGCCCCAACAGTCTAACCAGCTTTCTATCCATCTGACAGTCCATTTATCCAATCCATGCTTTCTTATCTTGCTGGCAAGAATATTGCGGGAGTCCGAATCAAAAGCTTTGCTAAAGTCAAGATACATCACATCCATGGACTTCCCCATGTTGACAGCCAGTTGCCTCCTCATAGAAGCTAATCAGATTGGTCAGGCACGACTTGCCCTTGGTGAATTCATGTTGACTATTCCTGATCATGTTTCCCTCTTCCAAGTACCTCAGAATGGATTCCTTGAGGATCCCCTCCATGATTTTTCCAGGGACTGAGGTAAAGCTGACTGGTCTGTAGTTCCCTGGATCGTCCTTCTTCCCTTTTTTAAAGATGGGCACTACATTTGCCTTTTTCCAGTCATCCGGAATTTCTCCTGATCTTCAAGAGTTTTCAAAGATAATGGCCAAAGGCTCCTCAATGACATTTGCCAACTCCCTCAGTACCCTCGGATACATTAAATCCGGATCCATGGATTTGGCTACGGCTGGCTTTTCTAAATAGTTCTTAACCTGTTCTTTCTCCACCAATGGCTGCCCACCTCCTTCTCATACTGCGTTGCCTAGTGCAGTATTCTGGGTGCTGATCTTGTCTGTGAAGACAGAGGCAAAAAACACCCCTAGGTTGGTGTTGGTGTCGGTGTCGTTCTACTGATGCAGTCTTGGGGCAGGGTTGTCAGTGTAGTCCTGGAGGTGTCCTCACATGACATTAATCTTGAATTAAAAGTTATCTTGAATTCCTAGGGCCTCCAGGCCAATCCTGGATGGTTGGCAGCCCTACCTGGGGCAATCAGGGCCTTGTGGTCATTGAAGTGTCACCAGTAACGCCCAGGCGATGCCTTGGTGGCTGTGGGTGAGGAGGTGAAGGGGGGGGAAATGGCTGTTAACACTCAGAATCATGGTGTCCTCCCTGTGAGGATCCTCAACCTCCCTGATCTTCCTCATCAGTGGCATCTGGAGCGCCTGTGAAAGTAGAAAGAATTATACTGTAAGAGAAAGATGAATGATGCTGTAATAATTGAATAAGTAGAAGGAATACTGTTTGTCTCTGAACAGGAAGAAGAAAAATATGTGAATGTTGTTTGTAGGGATGCAGATCAGAGTGCTAGCCAGGTGGGCCTGAGTTAATAGGAAAAGGAACATTAGGTGTCAGGCAGAAAGCAAGTGAGATAACCAGGGAGATATGGACAGGAGGTTGCTGTGTGCTTGATGTGGAAATGAAGATACTTGACTAGCCTCACACAATCATGTGAAGTTTTGCCCCTCTTTTAATCCTGTTAATTTTGGCTTTCTTTTGACTGTATAAATCAAGGGGTTTGAACCGTGTGGGGTGCTCACATTTTCTGGGTGCATTTAGCAGAGCGGCTTTGCTAATAAACAGAGCGGTCTGACAAATCTGTGAGTCCTGTCTGACTTTGACACGCCCATTTTCCACACCACTGTGCCAATGAACCCCTCCCCACCCTGACCTCTAGCACCCCCTGCATGTCTGATCTACCCCCGCGAGGGGTATGATCTGGCTTACTCAACTGCTCACAGATCTTTTCCTGATTCTTGTACACCAGGCTGGGTCCATGAAGATCTGAACTGCATGGTATTTAGTTACTGTGGGTTTGAGACAGCAGGTGTCTAGTAATCCCCTTGGAGCGTGGGTCTGCTCATTCAGAATCTGCAACTTGCTCAATGCATTTGCCTTCTTTGGATGACAGATATCACCCCGCACCAGGGACGTAAATTCCATTCCTGACTGTCACGCCATTGCTCTGGGGTTAGTCATGGCTGTGTTCTATACCTCAGTTTCCCCCTCTGTGGATGGGTGATGTGGTTATTGGTAAGTGCTAACTACCGGTTGTGAAATGGCAAATTATAGGGTATGAAATACTGTACCTGGGCTTACGATATGTTGTCCTTTGATAGGCAGACATCCAGTAGGAGCTGTCTTTGCATATTGGCTGACTAAATAAACTTGATTTCCCCTCCCTAATTTGCATAGATACTTTAATTCAGGGACCTAGTGGACGATATCCGGCAGGCGCAGGAGGCCACCTGCAGCAACCCGCTTGGTGAGGCTCCTAACACGCAGGGTTTCTCACCTCTGTGGGTTACAGTAACTGCCAGCAGTTTTCCTCGTCGCTCGCGCTGCTTGGCAGGTGTTTAGTTTGGCTAAAGGCCCCTCTGCTTCCATGTGGCAGACGATTGCACTGGGCCCTGGAGACAGCGGCCAGTGAGCTGACTCACTAGCTGCTGCCTGATCTGCTTTGGGCTCTCTTGAGCTGGGCTCCTAATCGGGGCTACTGCCCCTTCCCCAGTGCCGGGCAGCTGAGTGACTCCGGACAGACTCCGTCTACATGGCCTGTCCCAGGGCTGAGCTCTCCAGCCACCCAGAGGGTGCTTGGCGTGCGCCCTGCTCTCCTCACCGAGCCAGCCCCCTCTGCCTGCCCCAGGGGCCCAGGTCAGTGCGGGCAAAATTAGACCCTTTCCAATAGAACCAGGAGGGACATGGGTTTCTGAGACTAATGAAGAGGCTTTTCCCCATAACTCCTGAAAAACATCAATAAATCTCCCCAGCCCCCTGTTGAGGTAGATGGGTACAGCCCTGTGTCAGCTGGGGAAACTGAGGCACAGGTGAATGACGTGACTTGCAGTGACTCACTCCACTAACCCTCAGTCCCTTGTTGTAACCATCACACGTGCTGCCTCCTTGGCTCCATTTGATCTCATTGCATTGGGATGAGCCTGCTGTGGGCAGGTGAATGCTGAGAGTTTCTGTCTGTAGAGCACTTAGCCCCACTAGCCTGGACACACCCTTAATGGGAGTCGCTCCCAGCTGGAGGCTGGGTTTTGGCAGGAGGGGAGGGGAGCCCAAGCTATGGCCAGTTAGCTCCGCAGGAGGAAGGCAGCTGCTTTCTGTGCCGCTACAAGGGACTTTTAGGACGGCCAGATCTCAGGGGCGGGGGGGCCGGTGTCTAGAGAAGTGACCGGAGCAAGCTGGCCACCCCTCCCCTTGTGCCAATTGACCGTCCCTTTTCCTCCGGCTCCCAGGTCACAGCCATGGAGGAGATGATCATCTGGGAGCAGCACACGGTGACGCTGAGTAAGGTGAGCCACCCCCCCCTGCCCTTCGTTGGCGTGTGCAGGAGGGCAGGCCTGGAGGGCACGCCTTATCAATGGGGCCCCCTCCCTTCTGGAGCGACTGGGCTCCTAGCACCATTAGCTGCTTCCCTGTGGGGCCCTGCTAATGCCAGCCTGGCAGTACAAGCCTCCCCTGTAAGCCGGCCACAGTGTCTACTTGATTCACCCGGCTCTCTCCACTGTGCCCTTGTGGTGCCTGGCCAGTGCCAAGTAGCCCCCAGCAGCCTGACCTCCTGTGCGCCAGCTGGGTCCTGCCCATGGACCCATTCATGGCACTGCCTGGCCTGCTGCCCGCCCTGGCCTGCTGCCCGCCCTGCCCCACGGCAGCCAGCCCCTCCTGGGCAGAGTCTGACCTGGGGTGTGTGTGTCGCACTAGGACCCTCGACGGGGCTTTGGCATCGCCATCTCAGGAGGCAGGGACCGTCCCAGCGGCGTGGCAGGGGACCCCTCCATCGTGGTCTCAGATGTGGTACCTGGCGGTCCAGCAGATGGCAGGCTCCAGTGAGTGGAAATGGGGATCGTGAGCGGAGGGGCCGATCGTCTCCGAGTTCTGGGGTCTTGGATTCAGGGCCCTGGGGAAGCAGCACTTCGGGCACTCGCTGCTCAGCGGCTAGGAGGCGCTGTTGTCACCTTTGCTTTGCAGCGGGGGAGACTGGCTGAGGGTCCATTACGGCCTGGGAGGTCCTGGCTCCACTGCTGCTCAGAACATACTTCATGGGGGTTGGGAGGCAGGTCTGCTGGGGTCACGAGCGTGGGAGGAAGGGAGGCGTTAGCAGCTGCGCTAGCTCCTGGAAGGGACCTGCCTTCCCAGCTGCTGGCTCCTGACCTGGTGTCAGAGGGTGGAGCTGGGGAAGGCAGACTGGAGGACATGGGCGGGTTTGCACCTCGAAGGGTCTCCTGCCTCCTAAGGGGAACCGCAGAGGAACAGCTCCCCAGGGGCAGAATTTCCAGGAGTGAAATGTGCGTGGGACTGTCGCCACAGAGGCGTTGGCCTAGGCTGAGAGGCTGCCCCTAAGGCTCCCCAGTCAGCCCATGGCGGCTCTGCGCTGGCCAGGTATCTGCCTGACCTGGGTCTTTCCTTTCCAGGATGAGGGATCACATTGTGATGGTGAACGGCCTCTCCCTGGAGAACGTGCCCTCCTCCTTCGCCATCCAGACGCTCAAAACCTGTGGCAAGTTAGCCAACATCGTAAGTGTCCTGCCTGGGAGGGGCTGATCTGGCTTGGGTGGGAGGAGAGGTGACAAGGGTCCAGCATGAGGCCTATGTGGAACTGGCTGCAACTCCCCTGCAGAGTTAATTCCAGGGCTAATTTGTGTGGTTTGCCCTGCACTTGAGTGTCACCCTCACATTCCGCCCTTATCTCGACTGTGGCAGTGTCACGAACTCCTGGTGTCTGGCCCGTCGGAGGGCACAAGCCAATGCCTGAGTTAGCACCGCTTGTCGGCTGCTAATACCACTGATCTGTAGCACGGACTCAGGCTTGCTGCACTCCAGCGCTGCTAGTCCTTCAGGGCCTTCCCACAGCCCAACACTCCCCCCGTGCCAGAGAAACAAACAAGTTCTACAACAGACTCCAAGAGCTGGGCAGTGAAGCGGTTTGGGACGCTCCCAGGAATCTTAGTTCCACCCGGAGCCAGTGAATGCCAACGCGGGGTATACAAGCTGGAGAGCAGCCGCGCTCACTGGAGAGGAGCAACTTGAGTTACAACGGCAGGGCAGACATACTCTGAGTAAGTGAGGCCCCATCCCCTTTCAGCAGGGCTGGATTTGGGTCGCCCTTCTCCCAAGCATTTCGTGACCAGCAACAGCCCTGGTTCTTCCACCCCAGGGCTTGTTTAGATTGGTGTGTCTCCGTCCCTGCTAACCTGGCAACTTACCTGCAGGGACAAACCAGCATCTTCAAAATATTGCAGAGCTCTAACTTCTGGCAAACTTTTAAAATTGTGAAAGAGGGAAACTCTATGAATAATTACCGTAATTTAGTGAATATACCCTGCACCCAAATATAACCCACACCCGAATATACCCCACTGTCTTTTCTATTTCAGTAAAAAAAAATAATCTTGTACACCCTGTGCACGAAAATAACCCGTAGACTTTTATGTGCCGGGGGTATATCTGCCGGGAGTATATTTCCTAATTTACGGTGCGGGGAGAGGAAGTGTGTGTGTGGGGGGGGAATTAGCCAGCCACTCACCGCCCCAGTTCCTGCACAGCTGCCAGCCTTCAGGCTGGGGAGCGCTTATCCCCCGGCTCCTCCCCAGCCGCAGGAAAGGGGCGGCGGAGAAGGAACCACCATCTTCCAGGTGGGGGAGCGCTCACCACTCAGTTCCTGCGCAGCCACAGGAACCATCATCTTCCGGGCAGGGAAGCGCTTCCCCCCCCATCCCCCCCCCCCCATTCCTGCGCAGCCGCAGGAACCACCAGCCTCCGGTGAGATGAAAAAAAAATGCTGGTGAGTTTAAAAACCCCTATATACCCCACACCCGAATATACCCCGTGGGGGGGGTGTGTGCAGGGTTTGTAAAAATGAATATAACCCGCGGGCTATAGTCACTAAATTACAGTATTCACAGTTAGAGCTCAAAGCCACTAACAAGCATTCTGGGGTGTTGAACAGCAGCACCAGTGGTTAACTCCTCCTCCTCACTTCTGTTTAAAGCTAAACTTTCAGATCTGTAATTGAATCTGAAAATAGGTACGTCAGGTCCAGCATTCGTAGTATGACACTGGGAACCCTGGGCCAAATCACCCCAGATGTAGGCTGCCCCCTAAAATTACCTGTTAACATTTTAGCTTCTAACTAGGGATGTTAAAATGTGTGTATTTGGGTAAACATGTAACCGCACAGGAGTGAGGGGGAAGGTGGCTCCTCAGGAGCCAGTGTGTGGGGGGGGCCTGCTTACCTGCCCCCTCCCCTGCATGCTGTTGCTGCAGGGAGCTGGTATGTGCAGAGGCAGCAGTGCAGGGGTGGGAGGGGCTGCGTGTAACCGTGAAGGTTAACCAAGGAGCACAGGCTCATCGCTTAACCACTTCCATGATCACAGCCCTACTTCTAACCCAAAATTCTTGGCTCCGAGTCCTGTGCTCACTCCTGTCCCAGGCCAGCGGTGGCGGAGCAGAGGAGTCCTCAATCCGACTGGTAGATCTGCCCTGCTGGATGGTCAGGACTAGGACAAGTGGCTCCGGGACTTTTGGTGTCACTACGGTGATGCCGAACTGCTCTGAATGCCTGAGACTCTGCCTCAGAGCCCTGGGAGCAGCCAGCCCAGAACACACAGAGGCAGTGTAGTCACTGGGCCCTGCGTGGCCCACCCTGGACACACCTGATTCAAGAGGCTGTTCCAAAGACATGAGCCAGTGGGGAGAAGGCACGTAGTCAGGTGGAGGCGAAGGGGATGGCTGGGTCACAAACATGAGCAGTGGCAGGGAGGGTGGAGGTAGGAGGGTGATTAGAACAGATGGGCCAAGTGGCTCTTGACATGTCCCGTCCTCCCCACGTTTAGTCTGGGACAACATGGCTCCTTCATTAGTTGGCCCAGTCCAGTCCAGCACACACCTAGGAGCTGAGTCAAGGTTCGTGGGACTGGTCTTACCTATGGAACTGCTTTGGCCAGGGGGGTGATTACTGAGCTAGTTACCGCAGGCTAAGCCCCAGTGTGGGTGCAGTTATGCTGGTATAAAGGTGCCTTTCCCTGGTGTAATTATTCCCCTCTCCGTGTGAGATTGCCGTACTGGTACAAAGCACCTTGCAGCAGCATAACTGCATCCTTGCTGGGGCACTGAACCGGCTTCTCTGTGCTGGTACATTCAAGGGCTGCAACTTTCTGGCCAGAAACAGGGGCTCCTTTGTCACTGACTCGCTGTGGGGCCTTGGGCAGGTGAGGTCCTGCCTCTGTGCCGTGACTTTCTCCCTCTGCAAACGAGGAGAATGACACCCCGGGAGGTGAGTGGTGGCTCTCTTGGGAAGGGCTGTCTGTGTCTAGCAGAGCACGTGGGGTTTTCCAATGAATTCTTCCTTTCCACCTGCAGACAGTGAAGAGACCCAAGAAAATTCATCTTCCTGTGACCAAAACCAGCCAGGCGCTCTCCAGTGACTCCTTGCACACGCCCGATGCTGTCCAGTACGATTCGGATGAGTATGGGTACCAGGGAGACGAGGCGTCGCCACGGAGCACAGGGAAAGGAGACCGGCACGACAGTTATGGCAGGACTCGGCCTCAGGATGATGTGGATTACAACAGAGGCTATGACGGAGACTCCTCCAGTGAGAGGAGCTCCGGCCACTATCGGGAGAACCGCGATATTCGAAGGCCGACATCCAGAGGCAAAAGGCGGAGCCAAGATGGCAGCTACAGGAGACAGAGCCGAGACAGCGGCTCTGAGAGGCAGAGTTACCACAGACATCACTCCACCAATGGGTATGGCCACGAAGAGGACACCAATGGGCTTGCCCTAGTTTCTGGGTTCAAGAGGCTGCCGCCCCAGGAGGTACCAGTGAAACCCATCCACGCTGTTCTGGTGAAGCGGAAAGAGGATGAAGGTAAGAAGCAGCGTCCTGCCAGCCCCTGCAGTGCGAATGAACCATCCTTCATTGCACAGGCGGGCGGGAGGAGCAGAACAGGATGACTTTAAGGCAGGGTGGGGAACCTCTTTCGGTTCGGGGGCTGCTGACCCCCAGACAAGTAGATTTTGCGTACTCCAGCCCCACGGTGGGATAGTGTGTAAATAAATAAAGACGGGACGGGGGGATCCAGCCTAGTAGATTTTGTTCCCTCCAGCCCCACAGGAATGTCAGTGCAGGCTCCCTAGTGCTCGAGGAAGCCCTGAGCCTCGGGGGCGGGATCCAGGCGAGCCAGGGGTACAGGTTCCCCATCCTGGTTTAAGGGCACAGAGATTAAGGGCTTCTAACACCAGTGAGGTTGAGCAATTGATGTCACCTACGCTGCTTTGCCTGGGAGGGAGGCGGCCTAGGAAGGAATACCCTGACCTCCACGCACATCGCACCGAGTTAAGTCGGTTTAGAAACTGAGTTAAACGGGCGCAATTTGTAGGTATGCACCAGGCCCAAGTGACTGCAGTTTATGGCCTGGCAAACGCTACAGCTGGAGCCATGAGGGGCCCACACTGGGTACTAGGGGCCCCGTGGTGAGGGCTGGTCTCCTGGAGACCAGAGCTAGAGAAATGTCCGGTCCCCTCCCTGAACCGGACCCGTCTCTCTCCTGGAGCGCAGAGTACGGCTTGAAGCTGGGAAGTCAGATCTTTATCAAACACATCACGGAGACAGGCTTGGCTGCCAACGACAGCTCGCTGCAGGAGGGGGACCTCGTTTTAAAGGTAGGCAGAGGGCTTGTGCTTGGAGCAGGGTGTCGGTGCAGGGTGCCATGCTGTCTGCAGGCCGTGCGATCTGGGATTCTGGGAGCTCTGTGCACTGGGAAGAGGAGGGTGTTTTGGTAACTGACGTTAAACTGCTTCTGCTGTCCCCTGCATGGCTCTGGAACGCCCTCTCTGCGGGTGCAAACTGGGAGACCGTCGCAGCATCATGGGAAAGGGCTGCTGTGCCCGTTGCCATCAAAACCGAACCCTTTGCTCGGGGTGGTGGCCAGCCTGCAGCAGGAACTCCTCTAGTCTGCCGCTGACTTGGGCCTTGCCTCCACAGGCTCAATGGACCCATGCTAAAAAAACTCTGTGTGTGTGTGTGTGTGTGTGTGTGTGTGTGTGTGTGTGTGTGTGTGTGTGTGTGTGTGGTGGCGGGGGGAGGGGAGGACATAAAGTTGTTAATGCCGCCCCAGCCTGAGGAAATACAGTGAGCAACGTACATCCCTCCCGTAGCTCGCGAACAGACGACCGAGCGGCGACCTGATAACAGCCGCAAGAGAGGAGGGTGATCAATTATTCTCCGGGTCCACAGATGGCAGGACAGGACGTGAGGGGCTTATTCTGTAGCAAGGGAAATGGAAGTTTAGATATTAGGAAAACTCTCTGTAAGAACCGACTGCACAGCCTAGGGACGGTCTAGGGCAGGCTTGCTTGGCCCTGCCTCCACCCGGGAGACTGGACTAGATGGCCTCTTGAGGTCTCCTCCAGCCCGGCATTTCTGTGGTTCGATCAACAAGAATGCTCCACCCCACACTCTGGTCCCCAAGCAAATCAATTCTCCTTGGCCCCGGGCCCTAAAGTTCCACTCAGACAGCCTGAAAACAGCCCTGTGGGTAGGATTGCTGTCTATTGCCCACCACTTGCCGGCCTGAGCTTTTAGTTAAAACATCGTTCCTGCTTGGGTGTTTTCTTAGCACCTCAGAGCCCCGTCTCGGCCCAGGACCCCTTGCTCCCAAGTGCTGGACAAACACCAACCTGGCCCCAAGAGCTGACCATCTGAGCAAAGTTGCTAGCGTTTGCTTCTGACAGCGTGTGGTGCTCCCAGAAATCGATGTTTAAGGAGATGTGTGATGTTACTTCGACTAAAGCACCGAGCTGCAGATATTCACCTACACTTGTTAGCTGATCAGGGTTTGATTTTTGTAGCATATTATGTGATGAGAGCTTAATTTTTGACTCTTTATTACCGAGTTCTCCACTTCCAGTAAGTGATTTCATGCAAGTATTCCACCGTGTCCTATGCCTTTCTGTTTGTAGGCGCAAACAGGTTGGTTTGCTTGTCTTCTCCAACAGTTGCAAACTTTCTTTGGCTGAATAGGTTTAGCTCCTAGAGGTTCTTGTTGGTCAGGGATGTGGGGGTGTGGCACTGGCATGTCGTTCCCTGCCAGGAGATGTTTATTCACACCCAGGCGCACACACACCCCCCTCCCAGCACTTTGCAGCCAGCAGAATTCAGGCTGCCTGGGTGTGGCCATGCAGGCTGGCTCCTAGGGTTGATTTGTAGAGGAGTGGACAATGAGCGTGAGTATCGGTGGATGTGTGGGTGGTGCTGATAAATGGCTTCACACCACACTTCCTGGTGGTGTGGTTTTGCGAGAAGCAGTCGAACTGTGGCTCACATTGCGCAGGGCAGTGTGGGGTGTGGTGGGTGGGCAGTGTGGGGTGACAGTTTCTATTTTAAATTACAGTGATTGCTCCCCGTCCCTTCTGGGCCTGCAAGTTTCTAAATAATTGGTTGCGTCAAATTATTCAGTTCGCCTCCCACACCCAGTGCGGGCAGAACCAGCTTCCACCCCACGCCCAGCTCTGCGTCACCCCCACAGCCTCACTTTGGCACGGGCAGCATTCAGGGGAAGGGGGGAGCAGAAGCTATTGCTGGGCTGGTCCCAATCCCCAGCGATTCTCTGCCGCTGGAGGCTCTTGGCGAAGGAGGGAATCTTCTGTTGGGGGTGGAAGAGACAAGTTGTTGTGCTCACACAGGGCTCTCCCTCCACTCTGGGAGGCTACGGGGGCGGGGGGACAACTTAGGGCTGTGCTCAGGCTGTTCTAACCTATTCCTGGGTTGGGTCACCCCCTGTCAGCCACAGAACAGAGATGGGGCAAAACACCCCCGGTTGTCCCTGCCCTCAAAGGACTGTCCACAATGCCCGGCCTCCCCTCTGAGACCATCCTCCACCGCGCTCCCACCAGAACGAAGGGGGGAGGGGGGTAACTGGGTCCCAGTGCTCCTCCACTTGCAGCTCCAATCCAGCCCCCGGGGCTTCAGCCTGAGACATGGGGACGGAGCCAGGAGGGAGCTGAGCTGTTGTGCTTGCCCGGGTGGCTTGGCTTGCCCTTTCGTTCTCCTGATCTTTCTCTCCCAAGGCCTGGCCTCTGCAAGAGCAGCTCTCTGCTTGCTGCTTTGCCTGTTGAGGCTTTGTCTAGATTGGGACTTAAAGGGGGGTTATTAGGGCACCCTCGTTAGCCCGGACTAGCTAACACAGCCTCGTACCCAGGCAGCCTGTTTGTGGTCAGATCTCCAAAAATGACTTCAGAGGAGCCTCTTAAACATTGTCTATCCTGTGTCTGCAGGACGCCTGCCCGTGTGAGGGCTTTCCTGCCCCAAGCCGCCGGGTAGAATGCTGTGCTCAAAACTCTGTCATGGCCATTGCTTTGCTCAGAGCCCTCGGCTCTGGAAAGCCTAGATTTGGTCATTGATGGTAGATTCCCCCCTCCCCCGCCCCAATACCTCATCTGCAGTACTGTGTCCACCTCTGGGCACCGCGCCTTAGGAAAGGGAGGGACACTTTGCAGAAAGTCCAGAAAACCACAAAAAAGATGAAAGGTCTAGAAAACCTGACCTGTGAGGAAAAATTGGAAAAAGTTGGGTTTGCTTAATCTGGAGAAGAGAAGGCCAAGGAGGGACCTAAATCTTCAAGTATGTCAAAGGTTGTTGTGAAAATCATATAACACTAGAACTGGAAGGAACTCTGAGTCCAGATCCTTACCCTCACGGCAGGACCTCATCTAGATCCATAGTGCCCAAAACGCTAGCCACTAGCCTCATGTGGCTATTTGGACAGTTGAGTGTGACTAGTTCGCTATGGCAGTAGCCACTCTTGTGGTTGCTGCTTCAGAACTGGTTGGACACCCCAGAACTAGATCACAACAGATGTTTATCCAATGTGCTCTTAAATATCTTCAATGATGGAGATTCCACAACCTCCCTAGGCAACTTATTCCAGTACTTAGCCACTCTGACAGTTAGGAAGTTTTTCCTAATGTCCTTGTTGCAATGTCAGCCCATTGCTTCTTGTCCCATCATCAGAGGTTAAGGAGAACAATTTTCTCCCTCCACCTTGTAACACCCTTTTTAGGTACTTGAAAGCTATGACGTCCCCTCTCAGTCTTCTCTTTTCATGACCTCATAGGTCATGTTTTCTAAACCTTTAAGAATTTTTGTTGCTCTTCTTTGGACCCTTTCCAATTGGTCCGCATCTTCCCTGAACTGTGATGCCCAGAACTGGACACAATACTTCAGCTGAGGCCTAATCATCACAGAGTAGAGCCCAAGAATTACTTCTCATGTCTTGCTCACAACACTCTTCACGTTGAGATGTGGGGTTTGGTTTGTTTTTTGGTGACAGTGTCACACTGAATCGTATTCAGCTTGTGGTCCACTCGGAGCCCTAGATCCGTTTCCGCAGTACTACTTCCTAGACAGTCACTTCCCATTGTGTGTGTGTGCAACTGATTGTTCCTCCCTACGTGGAGTACAGGTTGCACCTCCTTAAACCGGGACTCTCTGGTCCAGCAACATTTGTGGTCTGGCAAGGCCATGGATGTTCCTGGACTACAGAGCCCAGGCACAGGGAGGTCTGGTGGCGGGACAGGAGTGCAGTAGGGTGGGGCTGGTGACTCAGCTGGGAGGTGGAGGTGCAGCAGGGAGTTCTGGTCCCAGCGTCAGCCCAGCTGTGGGGCTTCTGGCCTCAGCCCTAGAGCAGGTGGCTGTGGAGCTCCAGTCCCAGTGGCAATCAGGGAGTTCCAGCCTCCACCCTGTCTGTGGAGCCCCAGCCATGGAGCCAGGCAGCTGCAGAGCACCAGCTCCAACAGCAGCTAGAGGGCCCTTGGAGGCTGAGGCAGCAGCAGGACCGGGCTGGAGCCCTAGCCCAGGGCAGCAGGGCATCCCTGGTCCGGGAAATCCCCTGGTCCGGGACCGGTCAGGTCCCCAGAGAGCCAGACCAGAGAGCTCCAACCTGTACTTTGCATTTGTCATTTTTTGAGGAAGAGCAGCCCTTGCACAAAAGGGTTTTTTGCACATAAAGGAGCCGTCTACACAGCACTTTTTTTTTTTTTTTTTTTGCAAAAACCTCTTGTGCAAAAGGGATCCGAAGAGAAAATGCAAATGAGAGTGCAACATATGCAAATGAACGCTCCATTTGCATTTGCGCTTCCGCAAGAGGCTCATAGTATAGATGTAGACTAAGGGGGGATATGGTAGAGGTCTATAAAATGATGACTGGTATGGGAAAAGTGACTAAGGAAAAGTTATGTACTTATTCCCACAATATAAGAAGTAGGGGTCACCAAATGAAATGAGTAGGCAGCACGTTTTAAAACAGACAAAAGGAAGTTTTTCTTCACTCCGCACACAGTCAACCCGTGGAACTCCTTGCCAGAGGATGAGGTGAAGTCTAGGACTTTAACAGGGTTCAAAAAAGAGCTAGATAGATTCATGGAGGTTCAGTCCTTCAATGGCTATTAGCCAGGATGGGTGGGAATGGTGTCCCTAGCCTGTTTCTCTGCAGCTGAGTGACGGGAGGGATCACGTGAGGATTACCTGTTGTGTTCCCTCCCTCTGGAGCATCTGGTATTGGCCACTGTTGGCAGATGGGCTACTGGGCTGGATGGACCGTTGGTCTGACCCAGTATGGCCGTTCTTATGTTCGTGGTGGAAGGGTCAGGGCTGGGGGCTAGCCTTCCCTGCCAGTCCTTCAGCATCGCCTGGAGCACGCTGCCTGGGAGGTGATTTCAAGGGCCCAGGGCTCTGGCTCCTGCCACAATAGCAGCAGTAACAGCTGGGGGCCCTGGGCCCCTTTACCACCGCCAGTCGGTGGGCCTGCACTGCCCGGTGTGGACACAACTACAGTGCTAGAAAAGCCCCTTATCTCACTCTATCCTGTTGCTAGAGCCCTGCAGGCCCAGGATATCTGCAGCTCAGTATCCGCAAGGGCTCCACTTACTGCGGTGTGCACCTCTGCCGAAGAGGCCCTGGCAGGAGGGTTAGACCAGGCAGCTATAATTAACCTTGATTTGCGAGTGTGTTTTGCAGCCTGGGCACATCAGGAGGGGAACGTTGTAAGCGGGGAGCTAGCTGTCTGGTCTCATTCTGTGCAGTGGCTGGGAATGGGTGTCGGGATGGATCACACGGAGATTGACTGTTCTGCTCATTCCCTCTGAAACAGCCTGTAGTAGACAGGATACGGGGCTAGACAACCTCTGGTCCAACCTAATATGGAAATAGCCAGAGGACTTTCTGCTTCCACCAGATGACTTGACGGCGGGGGGGGAGAGAGATTCTCACTCCAACCACCTGTCTCCCTCCCAGCTCAGCGTCCCCGACAGCACTGAGCAGCCAGGCGCCTTCCTCGCGGGGGCTGCAAGGCTGTGGTAACCAAGAGGGAACAGGGTAGTCCTGCTCACCGCACTGGCTAGACTTTGAGGTGTGAGCCGACTGAACCGTGGCAGCGCTTTGCGTGGAGGCACGAGGAGCGCAGGCTCTCACGGGCGCTGCTGGGCGCGATCGGCCCATGCCTCACTCCCCAGGCTGTGTCACTGTGTAACACGGGTAGGAAAAGAGCCTAGGTGGGTGGGAACCAGCACACGCTGGTGACCCTGCCCGTGGCTACCAATAAACCGAGGGTCTCGTGACCACACAGAACCACGGTGGGTCGTGGGTTGCCCACCACTACTCCAAGAGCCTAGTTCCCCTGTAACTGGAAACACTTGAACAACAACAAATGGTCTAGCAGCACCTTCAAGACTAACAAACCGGGGAGCTGGTACCATGAGCTTCTTCAGATGAAACGTGAAGAGCTAGTGATATTTCACAGCCATTGTGGGAAACGCTTGGAAGTCTGTGGCTGAAACTAGGGACGTTAATGGTTAACCAGTAAATCTCACCCATGACAGGTTATGGTCAACCATGGGGCTGGCGCAGTTCCCTGCCCACCCTAAGCAGGGGGCTGCTCCTGACCCACAGGGCCTACCACAGGCAGGGGGTGCTCCAGCCCAGCCAGAGAAGCCCCCAACCATAGTGGGGGAGGCGTGGGGCACGCCAGCCCAGCTGTGGCAGACAAGGGTGGGGGGCTGACCTGCCCCGTTCAGTCGGTTAACTGGTTAAAGTTAACATTTAACCAGCTAACTAATCAAACAGGGTTTTACCTCCCTAATGAAACCCCCTCTCTAGTAGTGAGGTGTTCTTGTTAACATGCCGACGGTTCTCCCTCTGCGTGTGCGCATGTGTGTTCACCGCATGATTAAGCCCCTTGTCCAGTGGCGGTTCCAGGGGATTTGCTGGCCTTCAGACCTGCTTGCATTGTCCAAAGGAAATTCTTTCCCTGATTTCAGCAGGGTAGCTATGGAGACTGGAGCCAGCCTTGGCCCTGCCCGCTCAGTCAACAGTCCCGCCCTCCCGTTGAGTGCTGTGGCAGGAGGTCCGCGGGCTGGCACGTGGGAGTGTTTGCCTGGGTGACTGGCTCCGCACAGCACTGCCGAGTCTGGGTCTCCAGGCTCACCGCTGGTGCCAGGGGATCTGGGCTCACTCCGGGCTATGGCTCCGCTTGCGCTACCCAGCTATGCCCAGCCCCAGGGAAGGCTGCTGCTGCCCCCTGAGCGCGGTGCTGGGGAGGCAGCTCTGTAACCCTCCGCCCCTCTCTGCCCCTCTGGCTAGATTAATGGCATCGCCAGCGAGAACATGTCTCTGGCTGACACCCGCCGGCTGATTGAAAGGTCAGAGGGGACGCTGAGGCTGCTTGTGTTCCGGGACAACCGGCAGTTCCTGGTCAGCATCCCACAAGTGGTGGACAGCGACAGTGCGGTGAGTGGAGTCCCGAGGGCCCGGAGAGCCTGGGGGCGGGGACACCCGTGCTCTGTGCCTGGCCGGGGTACAGGCAGCTTGGCAGTGCCACACTCGATACTGGGGAGGGGAAGGACACACCGGGACAGCAGCGAGCGTCTGAATCCCAAGGCCGTGGTGCTCACATTTGGAAGGTCGTTGGACTCTGCAGGGTAATTACTGTTTGGGAGCCTGTGCAAAAGGGCAGGGATCCGGGCAGAGTCCCCCGCGACCGGCCTGCTCAGCGTGCTTGGTGCCCGCAGGTCCAGGCCATTCTGCGGCTAGGGC